CAAATCCTAGATTAGAATTAAAGTTTTAATGACTAAAATGAATTCTATCTTATATGTAAATGACTTGGTTATAATTTTTTGATTTTGAGGGTATTTTATGTAGTTTATGTTGGTTGAATTGTCAAAGGGTATTTTAGAAAGGCTATTGTTCAATTTGGGGTATTTCCAATAATTTCTCATCTCCATACAACTTTCTTCGTTTAGTAATTAATTGTTGGATTTTGTGATCCAAATTAGATTAAAATTTCTGGAAATATATTTTTCCTTCTTTGCACATATTTGAAAAAAATATTATTTTCTTTATTTCACGTGTATTATTGGAAAAACATTGGGAAAATATCTTTTCATTTATTTCACATGATTTGTTTTTATCTTTTTTATATCTTGGGTTTGGACATCTTCCCTATAAATAGTAGACTCTTAATTCAGTTTTTGAGATCAGAAATCGCTAAAATTGTATTTTTTCTCCATTGATTGTTTAATAAAATATCGGTTCTTCTGCCAATTTTTTTCTTTACAAAAATCATGTTCTTATTTAGTGAGTGATCGATACTTCATATTGCTCCATTAATCTCTTCCGATTTTTCACAACACGTGGGTTCAAAGAGTCCCAACAGGTGGTATCAGAACTACAGTTGTTGAATTTATTTGAAATTTCTAGTTTCGATGGCTGCCATGAAGTATGACTTTTCGCTTTTGGATCGCAATACAAGGTTTTCTTTGTGGCAAGTAAAGATGAAAGCAATTCTGGCGCAGATGGATTTGGACGATGCTTTGTTGGGTTTTGATAAAATGCCAACAAATTGGACAATAGAGGAGAAGCAACGGAAGGATCGGAAGACGCTGTCTATGATTCATCTTTATATTTCTAACAACATTTTTCAGGACGTGGTTAAAGAGAAATTAGCTGCTGCATTGTGGTTAAAATTGGAACAACTGACGGGTGAGTTGCATCCGAAGTAGAGGTTTTATTCTCATCGCATGTTAGAAATGAGTTCTTTGGAGGACCACTTGGCCGTGTTCAAGGAACTCGCCGCTTATCTAGAA